AGTGTTTGACTTCCAATTTCATCCTTCTTCTAGGCCTGTCCTGGGTGGATTGAGGGGTTAGGACTACATGTTACCTCTGCATCTTGCTAATCTCCACTTTTTCTTTTGTTTCATCTTCTGTGATAATACCTACCAACCTCCCACGATACATAGCTGTATCACTAGCATTGAAGGCTCTCTCAAGGAGGCAAGGAGATGTCCATTCCTCAGGGATGTCTAGATGTAGTTGGTTCTTTATAGCTATTCCAAGGATCTATCTTCTCTTTACAGTTCTGTGAGAATGTCCATGTTGCATCCCAGAGATGTGCTGGGTATGAAGCATGTGCGGGCTGGGACAGGTCTTCTGTTGGTGGAGCTCTCCAGAGTCCAAATGCTATCTCTTCACCGCTGATATAGATGCTTCCACATTACTAGCCTCACTGATGACCCTCCAGAGGTGTTTGTGTGTCTGGGCACTGGCTGTTGTTGTGGGGGTTGGGGTTTTGGTCTTACACTCTTTCAGTCAGCTCCTCTATTTGGGGGATAATGGAAGAGGCCTGTTGCATGAGCTCACTGTCTTTCAGCAAGCCCTGCCATCTGGGATGTAATGGAGGGGCACTAAGCACTAATTCACTGTCTTCCAGCTGGCCTGCCCTTTGGGAGGCAATGGAGGAGACCCACCCAGATCACAGACTCACTGCATTCCAGCAAACCCACCCATGGGGATGTAATTGATGGGTGCAAAGAACAAATACACTGTCTCCACAAGTTCCACCGTCTGGGGGTGGGATGGGGGATAAAGGAGAAGGCCTGGAGTGTGAACTCCCTGTCTTCCAGCCAGCCCTTCCAGCCAGGATGTAATGGAGGGGTATAGAGCAGAGAACCAACTCTTATATTCATTATTTTCTTGGTCTTAGTTGCATTAATTTTTGCTCTGATCCTGATAGCTTTCTTCCTTATTAAGCTCTGGGTTTAACTTGCTCTTCTTTTCTTGAAACTGGTGGTTCAGCATGAGGTTATTTGAGTTCACTCTGTTTTACTGGAAACTCTTCTGCTGTAAATTTCCCTTGTAGCACTGCTTTCATTATGCCCCATAAGTTCTGGTATGTGATATTGTCATTATCACTAACTGTAAAAACTGTCTTAATTTTTTCTTTAATTTAATCGGTGACCCATTTGTTGTTCAGGAGGGTGCTATTTAATTTCCACGTGTTTATGAAATTTTCATGGTTTATTTTGCCATTGATTTCTAATTTCATTGCACTATGGCCTAATAATATGCCTGGGGTAATTTCAGTTCCTTGACATTTACTTAAGCATGTTCTGTGAGCTAGTATGTGCTATTTTGGAGAATGTCCCATGTGCAGGTGAAAAGAATTTGTATTCTGATGTCATTAAGTAGAACACTCTGTAGGCATCTACAAAGCCGATTTGTTCAGAGTTTGGTTCAGTTCTGATATTTCTGTTGATTTTTTTGTCTAGTTGATCTGCCTATTTGTGACAGTTGGGTATTGAGGTCCTTTATTACAACTGAATTAGTTTATGTCACCTTGAGTATAGTTTATGTCACCTTGAGTATAGTAGTACAATTAGTAATAACAATAGCTTCAAACACAGATTGAAAAATGGCAAACTGTGATGACTAATAATTTGCCACCTTTACCATAGGTACAAGATTTATAGTTATATGAAAAATGTAAAACAAATAAGAAAATTATATATAGTATATATTTACTCAATAATTTTACCCAAAAAGGAGAAAATTTAAATGAAAGAGGGAAAAAATAGAGAAATGAAAGAAGCAGAAGAGAGCAGAAGTAGCCCAAACCTCAGGAAACCTGTGAAGAGGTTAGGAGGGGAGGAAAAGAGAAAATAAGAACAAAACAGCACAACACAAAACAAAACAGAGCTAAAACCAATGTTCATATTCATGAAACAAGACAAAACAAAAAACCCAAAAGGAACAATCACAAAAACATAAACCAGAACCAAACTTCAATCCCTGGTATCAACAAAAATTTTAAAAAACAGTAATAGCAAAGGAGAGAGAGAGAGAGAGAGAGAGAGAGAGAGAGAGAGAGAGAGAGAATGAATCTGTGATTTTGACTAGGGTCTCCACTTTTGCGACCGTGTCCAATTCAAGGTGTGACTTTGAAATCAGATTCTAGATCTGTGCTACACAATTCCAGCAAGCCAGTGATTAGGGTATAGGGTGGTGCACCCCTCCGGGACTTTCAAAACCACAGAGATTCAAACCGAACCTGGCTTCTAGTTGTGAGGATGGGCCTAAATTGCTTAGTTTATAACACTGGGTGTCTCTTGATGGCCTGACCTCAGCTCCCTGACCATGGACTTCTCTTGTGTATGTTTCTTACCCAGTCACTGTGGGAGTTTAATACTGGAAGCCCTAAGATGAAGCCAACCTCTGGGTACTTTGGTTTCCATTGACCTCTCCCTAAAATGGCATCTGATCAGGAACCCTCTCCAGGGTATATGCAAACACTTGGACTGGACTCAACTACAACCAGCTGTTGGAGTGCGGGGTATCCTCTGCTCCATTCCACTGGTGTGTTTCTCCCTGAAGGCCTCTAGCCTCACTTGCTTTCACCATGTCTCTGTAGATTTGATCTTCTTTTCTCTTGCCAGGATCCAGGAGCTAGAAAAAGAGTGCAGATAGTTTGTTCCTTCCTTTTTTCTGTACTGTCGTCTGACTCTTCAGTTTCTCTGTAGGCTGCAAGATTCCTTGGAATCCACCTCCCTCCTTTTCTTCCGTAAGCTATTATTTTCCAATGACTGGATTGTGAACCTTAGAGAGGCTGATTTTTGTTGCTTACCAGTCTGCCACCTTCCCAGAAGCCAATCTCCACTTCCTAGCAGCACATTCAGCTCCGGTAAGGATGGCACCCCCATGATTCAATCTAAAGGGGGACACATGAATCTTTTGGAGCCTCACAGATCCAAACCATAACTCTGGGCGACCCGTATGATCAAATTTACATCTTTGCAACTATACTGTAGCTATAATGTGAGGCATGTAAGGCAAGAAGTGTGACAATTTCATGTATCAAGTTGGCTAGGCAAAGGGATGGCTCAGTAGCCGATTAAACATTATTTCTGGGTGTGTCTATGAGGGAAGAGGTTAAGATTTATATCAATAGATCTAGTAAAGAACATTACCCTCACCAATATGGGCAGGCATCACTCAATTGAAAGCCCAAAGAGTCAGAAGAAGGAAAGATTTTTCTCTCTTCTTGAATTGAGGCTTCAATCTTCTTCCTGTAGACATTGATATTCCTGGTTCTTGATATCTTAGAACAATACTGGGATTTAAACCAACTTTTCTGGTTCTAAGTCTTCTGGTTGCGCCTGGATATACATCACTGGCTCTGCTGAGCCTCAAGTGTGCAGATAGCAGATTGTGGGATGCTCAGCTTCTATAAGCATGTGAGTCAATTCCTCATAAAGCATATTTTTCTATATACCACTACATACCCTATTTGGTATATATAGAACCTGGCTAATATAGAAGATACAGAAAGCTCGTATAGAAGATGACTAATATAAGAGAAGCTGGCTAGTAAAGAAGACACAAAGTGGACAGTATGCTATGAAAAATCTGGTGGGGATGCAAAGGTGAGAGCTAAAGCTGGGGGCACTGTGGACAGAGAGGATGGAAAAGATTTGACAGGTATTTAGCTGCCAGAGTTGGCTATATTTAATAACCGTAATTTAAATATGACAAGGAAGGTAAAAAATGTCAAAAGAATGACTCCCATGGCTCTGAATGGAGCAATTGTGTGGACAGAGAGATGAGATGATCAGATGACATCAACAAATGATCAGATTTGAGAGTATTATGGAAAATTAATGAATTTCATTGTGGATACACTTAAATTTTTTTTTCCAGCACTGGGGATTGAACTGAGGGCCTCACACATACCAAGCAAATTCTCTACCAGTGAGCCCCACTCTCAGCCTGTTTCATTTTTAAATTTGAGACAGAATATGGTTAAGATGGCCAAGCTGCCTTTGAACCTGTGATCCTCAATCTTCAGCCTCCAGAGTAGCTGGGATTATAGGTATGTACCACTGCACTGGGGATGGATGGATATACTTAGCTTAAAATGCCTATAGAGATTTCCAATAGGTAACTTGAGATGAGTGCAAAGTTCTTGGAAGAAGCTGGAATTCCAGAAACAGAAAATACTAGCAAGTATATAGTGGTTGGAAGCTATGAAGACAGATACTTCTCAAAAGGAAAGGGAGTGTCAACACAAAGACACAAGCCATAGAAAACATATATACTTCAAAGAGGAGCATAGAAAAAGGAGACCAAAAAAATGTACTGGGAAAGAATACCTAAGAAGTAGAAGAATTGGGAGCAAGTGTGTGGTGGATATTCCAAAATTTACTTTCTACTACTCTGTATCCTATGTGGCTTGGAAAGCTGACTCTTAGGGATCACATAAACAGATCTCTTGTCCTCTGGCTTCCAGAGATCAGGCATTATGAAGCAAGAGACCAGAGGTAGAGAAGACAGAGAAGCTGGGTCATTATTCCTCTGACGTGCTTCTTCTGGATTGTGAATATTTAGTTTCTCTATCAGGAATGTGGCTCCTGTCAAGCAACTGATAGTTGCAATTCCTCCTGTTAAGCAACTGATAGTTGCAATTCCTTGTCTCATAGGCCTAAGGAATGTAAGGTCTGTCCTTTATTGCTAGCCCTTAAGTCCTACAGCTTCTCTTGCTGCTTTCCTTTAATCCTGTTTAGATCTTTGCAAGTGGTTCAGTGACCCAATCTTCTTGGTATTGGTCCCCTTCTAGGATTCTCAGATTTACAACCATATCACAAAACCCACAACAAGAGTTTCAAAATGGTAGTGGCCAACAGTATCAGGAGCTGCAGGGTTATTTATGATGAAGTCTGAAAGTTGCAGTTGGAGGTTGCTGGTGACCTCCAGTGGCTGGGCTAGAAGGATGAGCTGCAACTTGACTACGGCAAGGAAGATGATGAGACAGTGACAGGGTGGTATTTTCTTGCTTTAATTTTAAAGTTGAAAGGACTTGAGCATGCTTACAGACTACGAGAAGGATCTATTTGATGAGGAGAGCTTAGAAATACAGGAACTGGAAACATGAATGAGTCTGTCTCCAGAGCTGCAACAAGAAGGATTATTCTTGAAGGAAAAATATTGATTTCTTCTTAGGATGGAAGAAAAGAATGATGGCAGATATGGATATAAATATGTTTTCAGCTGTGGGGTAGGGGAGAGAGGGACTTTCTTCTTGAAAACCTAAATTTTCTCAGTGAAAGTTTAAAACAGTGATTGTGAGCAGTAGGGGAGAAATTGATCACGGCCCAGTAATGGTCCCTGGAGTTTTTCTGAAATAAATTAATAAACAATTGATATTAATGATATCATAGAATATATGATGAGGAAAAATGTCATGAGATGGAATTAAAAAGGTAAAATGTGTCTGATGTATGGAATTTGGCTTCTATATAGACAATGGAAGCTGTAAAAGGTTTTTGAGCAATGGGATGATGAATTAAATATAAGATTAAAGATCACAACAATCTAGATGATGGACAAAGGATAGACAAAGGATGACAATCTCCTTATTTGGGGATTGAAAATAGACATAACAAAGTTAAGGGTTACTTTGGACTTAGATCCCACAGGACTCATTAGGATGTGATGAGGTCGACTGGCATGCTCCTGGGGCCCATTCACCAGTCCATATCATCTGTGTAAATTCTTGTTTAGCACAAATCGCCTAGCCCCATTCAGGCTGCCATGCCTAGACATTGTCCTTGTAGACATTCAGGAACTTCTACTGTACTGGGGTTTAGAGGCTACTTAGATGTAGACAATGAAAGTCAGAGCTAATTAGACATTATGCCTTGGCTTACATGGTGGGTGCCATGATACTGTCAACCAAGAAAGGAACTATGGGAAGTCATGTTTGTAAAGCAAAAGGGTGATTTCTAGGTTCCAGGATGGCTTTATGTGGATCTGAGCAACTGGAGTTGAGGGACATGAGTCTGGAACTTGGGAGGTTGGGTGGGTCCAATCATGCAAAGCTGGCATTGTCTATGTCAAACTGGTTGACAGCTGGGTCCATGTTGGCCAGATCTTTCCATCAGCTCTGAAAAAAAATTTGTCTTGACTCTACTCAAGTTTGCTATTATTTCACTATTCCCCAGGGTTGGCAAAGGGGTTTTAAAGACAGTCTGGACAGAAACCCTTGAGGAATATTGTTCTTAAAAGGGCAAGCAAAGAAGAGAGCCCAATACTAAAAATTTAAAAAAAAAGTTGGGGAAATTGGAGACAATCAGACCTGAAGAGTCAGTCACATCAAGGATGGGCTCATCAGGGAAAATGGTTTTTCTTTTACAGAAAACATCACTTCTTTTCTTCAAAATTGATTTTTAATTTGCATTTTGTTCTAGAAAATGGTTCTTCTTCTCTTTTAATGTAACTTATTTAAAAATCTCTTAGAGCTGCTCTGAATCCTTCCAATTTTGCAGTTTCATGATTACCCTCCAGAAAGTTATGCTAGTCTTTGTGCAGAATTCATTAAAACATGTTCAGCATTTTTATGTAGGTACTTCGATATGTACTAAAAAATGTCACTTGAGTTCCTTTTATCAAGTTGAATGTTCTTGTCTTTGTCATAGTGGAGCTGTTCTTCACACAGAGAGCAGCTCCTAAGTCAGACTAGTCTGAGTCTGTGTTTGAGCATGGAAGTTAATGGTCTTTTTCGAAATACAATGATTTCCCCCCCTGGATATTTACCCCAGACTCCATCACTCAATTGACCTGTTTTTGTTTTTTTTTTTTTTTGGTACTGGGGATCAAACTCATGATCTTGCATTTGCAGGTTTCTGTGTTCTTAATTGGATTTATTTGGAAGCTCTGTTAAAGTCAGTGGTTGGTTTTAGGACCATCTCCAAAATATTCTCCCCATCTTTTTTACATGGAAGATCTGGCTTAACACCACAGAAGTGTAAAAATCATGTTTAGTGTTATGGCCTTTCTAAAATCACAGTGCCCAAGTTGGATGGACACAAGCCCCTTGTTTGGGTCATTGTCCACCCAATTGGAATTCAGGTTGTCCCTTTGAGAATTTTGTTGTGTCTTAAGTTTTCTTGTGCAGTGATCTTTGTCACTTTCTTTCTTTCTTTTTTTTTCTTTTCTCTCTCTCTCTCTCTCTCTCTCTCTCTCTCTCTCTCTCTCTCTCTCTCTCTCTCTTTCTTTTTGGTACCAAGGATTGAACTCATGACCTTGCACTTGTCAGGCAGCTGCTTATGCTGCTGAGCTATTTAGCTCCTGTAGGGATCTTGAATGGAGGACTTTTTGAGCTCTATTTCCTGAACACCAGGCTCACATCAGCAAATGTCTTAGTCTCTTTCATGGCAGACTCTCTTCTCAGGATCTGAAGGAACTTCATCAGAATGTGGTGGTGTTGGTGGCAAAGGGTCCACATTTGAAAATTATAGATCTTGAAGTGAGTAAAGCCATTGCACTGGCTCAGGCTGATAATCCATGTCATGAATTAACATGGCTGGAATCTCATCACTTGAAGGACTATGACTCAGTGATTTGGACCAGCTTAGTGGATTCTCAGATTCATTAGTGTAAGAGGAACTTTCCAAATCACTCTTATACAAATCAGAATCTGGATCAGAAATGAGATGTTTTGCAAAATGATCTTCCTGAGTTGCATATTTCCCTGGAATCTTTTGGCAGGGGATGTTGTCCTCAAGATTTTCTACTGGCATCACATTGTCCTTATATTCTACAACATTCTTGTCCTGTACAGGCTCAGCGGCCCCACAGCTCTCCTCTTTGCCAGGTATTTCTTCTCCAATCACATCCCTTGCACCTTCTGAGTCCTCTGAACTCAGGGTAAACAAAGACCCCTCATCAGAATCATAGTCATTCTCCATAATGTACTGAGGGTAAGAAAGGGAACCTTTCTGTGCTGGCCCCTCAGTAGTAGCATTGAGGCCATAGTCCCATCTTGGTGGAAGGTCTGATGGGTCCACATATCTTGCATCACTGCGTGTGACCACACTGCTGAAGGCTGGTGGCTGTCCTTCAGCACTGGCCCCCAGGAGTCCTGGCTGCTGTTCACCCAGGAAGCTGGTGGAGTGGCTCACTTGTGTTCCCTTAGAGAATTCCATCCGTGAGCCCTGGATTTCCAAAGGTGACTGTGAAGGGCCCTCTATTTCCTTGCTTTCTCCGGCCCTCAGTACATTGGTATATGTGAGCATTTGGGGGGTGGAAGCTGTCATTTCTCTTGACAGTGACGGATCTAATTCATTCACATCATTACGGTTTGAGTCAGAGACAGTGAAATCTGCGAAAGAGATGCCCACTGAATGCCTATCAAGTGAATATTCTGGGGTCACAGTTTCATAATTTAATTCATTGAGAATATCATTCTTAGATACATAGTCCTGTGCTGCTGCATTTATTTCACTGTTAGCAGCATTTGGTTGTTGGTAGGGAGCAGAATGAGCTGCACTGCCATTTGAAAGCACCCTGTCTTCTCTCTTTCCTGCCCTCTGGTTGTCTCTGAGTTGTTCTGAGCTGTGCTGATTGCCAGGCTCCTTTCTTGTGTTTCCCGAATTTCTATCAAGAATGGCAGTGGCATATGGGATTGTCTCTTGTGCCATGTAAAGGTCTTCATTCTCATAGAGGACTGAATGATGAAAAGCTTGGTGCAAATCCGCCCCTGGGTGCGGCATGCTCCTTGTAGCTTCAACTCCATCATAGAAGCCCTCGTTTGTATAAGCATTGTCTGAGCCATGGCTTTTATTCCTTTTGTCCCAGCATATTAGTGACAGTTTGTCAACATAGGGCCTTAGGAAAACTCCCATGCAGAAAGCCAGGATGAATGTGATGATCACCGACAGGCAGATAGCTAGGGTGAAGTCCTGGATTGCAACATCACTCCTGCCTGTGGCTTGCAGGTCTCCGATGTCTCTAAGCCCTCTTGGTGGCTGTTCCTGAACCTCCATGGCATCAGTGCCTGGGCATGCCTCCTCCTGGGTGGAGTAAATGTGGGCTCCTCCTTGGAGACTATGTGTTGCTTTCCATGAAGCTCTTCTTCTGGTTCAGAGTAATGCAAAGGGAATGTCTCCCTGGAAATTCTTCTTGTGGGAGTCTCCAGATATGCTTCCTTATACCCTGCAAATGGGAGAAAAGCACCATATAGTGAGAGGACAGAAGATTCCAGGAATTCTTGAAGTCCTCCTTAGTCCTTGTCTAGCTGTAGCTATATTTTGTATATATCTGTTACATGGTGACAAATAGTGCTTATCCATTCATCCATCTGTCCATTCATCCTTCCTTTCTTACCTAATGTCAACAGGATGTCTACGGCTCTGTGCACGTTTACATAAGGCTGTCTGGGGTCTGGAGTAGATATGCTGGTAGGCCCAGACTGCTCATGGGAGGGAAGAGCCAGACTTTAGAGGCAGCCACATCATCTCTCCTTCCTCCATACCCTTAACTATTCACATTTTCTGGAATAGTCCAACCCTCCTCTTTCCCCCTCTCTTGCCAGTAAGTCAGGCAACATTAGGTCTTCTGGTTCCTGATGTTCTGCCTGCCTCAGTCAGAATGCCAGCTGTATAAAATCATGAAACAAGTGTGGCTGACAATGTTCAGATGGCCTCTGCTCTTCCTGTGTTTCTTCTAAACCTGGAAAGCATTGAATGAGTCTTACTTTAATGGCAATCCTGATTTAGACAGAGTCCAGAGCTCTTTTTTCTTAATCTTTTTTTCCCCCAACATAGTTAATAGAGGGAATAAAGACACAACTCCCCAGAGTGTTTAACTTTAGTAACATTCTCGTTTGGTAGAGGATCAAGGAACAAATCAAAGGAAAATATACTTTTGAATGTGTGTTTGTTTTATGTATGTAGACTATCATATTTTCAAGGGTTAAGCAAACATTTCTGATAATGTTTCAGATTTTAAAAGTTCTTTATTTTTTAAATTTTATTTTAAAGCAGATAAAACAGAATGAAACCAAAGCAAACCAGTGTAACAGATACAGGACTTCAAAACATTAAAAAATCAACAATAGTTACCATAATACCTTTTAATGTCTTCAGAAGAGCTGCAGATAACTTCATAGTAAAAATCACACAGAACAGAATAGAATAGAAACAAAACAATGAATAGAAATAAAAACAAAACAATGAATGTAATAAAGGACTTCAAAACAAGCAAATAGTAAAGCCAAAATTGCTACCATAATATATCTTGTTATATTTGACACAGCTGTTCCTGCCAATGGATTTAACATAAATCAAACAAAACAAGAAGGAAGAAAACCCAACCCAGCAAAACAATGGAAATGGTATAGGACTTCAAAACAAGCAGAGAGGGAATTAACAATGGCCACAACCCTCAGAAGGAGAGCCCCCCTAGATGCCACACATCTGAACCTATGATCAGACCACTGGCCCTAGACCTGCAATGTTAGTGAAACCCCAAAGCACCACAGGCATCCAATTGCATTTCACTTCAATAGCTATCATTACAGCCTGTGTTTCTCTGGATAAAGTAGTTGTTTACAGGGAGGTAGCGATTGGTACTTGTTGTGTTGTGGGCTGCAAGAGGCCGGGGTCTGGCTTTTCCCAGTCCAGTGGCTGCCCACGCATGGTGATGGAACCTAGACTGAGCTTGTTTGCTGGTATGGCCTTGTTCTGTCTCTCCCAGTCCGCAAGTAAATTCTTTACTCGGTTGTTGAGAATTGGAGTAAAACTGTGTCCTTTTGAGGCTTCAGGGCAAAGTTCTTGTCTAGTGAAATTTCTGTTTCTGACTGAATTTCATGATTCTGAGTGATATGAGCCTGGTTTCATTGACCACAGGAAGAAAGTCATTCATGAACTGGAGCAAACAGTATGGCACACGACAATTCTGTGACACAGTCCCAGGTTGCTTAATGTCAGAGACCAACACTCTTGCTTTCAGAGGGACTGTTATTGTTTCAAAGGACACTAAGTTTTTAATGTGCATTTTCAGTTCAAGTGAAACCATTTCAGAGAAGAGTAGAGCTATAGATTTGTTGCAAATTATATCTCACTTTTCCACCCAGGATTCAGAAATGAAACTCTAGAAAGACTGCCAGGCTATTGTTGCACTGCTCTGGGTTGTCAAACAAGTCAATCTCCAAATGTAGAAATTCTAGAGCAACGATTATCACTGGTAGGGAAGTGGTCAAAGCATTGTTGCTGAGGTCTACAACCTGCTTGAGAAAAACAAATTTAGGATAGTTTGCGAACAAAGACACTTAGAGATAATACAAATAAGTTACCGAAAGATTTTGTTTATGTGCCTATGGAAATAGTGCTGGTTTGAAAGTCAGGCAATATTAGGTTTAAATCTGTGCTCAATTCCTAAAATCTCTGTATGTGTTGGCAAATTATTTACTTTCTGTTAGTCTACCTCCCAGGGTTGTTGTAAAAATTAATGTATACAAAATCTTTAAGCATGGTGTCTGTATGAGATGTGACCACAAACACAATGAATGGTTAAGTTTAAAAAAACTATTACAGTATAAGACACAAAGCCATTAATCCATCTTAACCCCCCTTCTAGGACCCCTTCCACCATTCTTGCCAACTTCTGAAGCATTGTTGGAAGTCCTTTTTGGTAAGTGTCTTCAGTTGTGTTGTTGTGCCTGCCTCAGTGTTCTGAGTCAATTCAAAACATTTATCTTTCATGGTCATTTTGACTTTGTAGAAGAACCACAAGTTGTACAATGCCAGATTTGGTGAGTAAGGTGGATAAGGACATGCTGTAGTGTCTTCATTTGATAGAAATTGCTGTAATGCATTTTTTAAAAAATTACATCTCATCTTACATGCCTCTTTTCCTTTCCTTCTTTCCTATGAGTTGTAAGTTGTACTGTTAAATAAAACCTAACTCTTACGTTATCAAGATCTAGAGTTGGATATACATCTAGAATTTCTAGAAACACCATAATTGGGGAAGTAGCAAAAGATGATAGATGATGAGGATAATGATTATGGTTGAACAAAAGTAGCAACAAAGACATGTTTCGCTTCAAATATTATTTTTAAGGATAGTAGTACATTTCTTTGTATCCATGGCTCTTCAATACTTGTGTAGTCTATCAGAAATGCAGCAGGAGACCAGGGACCAAAAAAGATACAGTGACTCTAGAGACACAGAGCAAGGTCCACTAAAGCTAGACCACGGCAGTGACATGACACAGCAGGGAAAGCTCCAGGTACTGTTTGTAGAACCCTGCTGTATACCAACCTGATAGTATATTTTACTTATAATATCTTCAATCCTCCCAATAAGCTTTTCATTTTTCCTTTTTTTTTTTCAGAAGAGGAAGCTGGGCTTAGCGACAGAATACACCTCACATAGATGCTGTCTTAGTAGTTACTTTTTCTTGTTGAACCAAAATGCCAACATACAATGTTAAAGGTGGGAAGATTTATTTAGAGCTTACAATCTACATAGGTTTCAGTCTAAGGCAGGGTAGCATGGCAGATAGGAATTGCAGAGAAACAGTTCATGGTGGGCAGAAGGGAGTAAAGCAAGCAAGTGAACAAAGTGCAAGTCACTAGGAACAGTGTCTTTCTGTCTCTTGTAGTACCCAGACCACCCACTTGTAGGCAGATGGCACACACACTTAATCCTAGCATGCCAGTCTTAAAATTACACCATGAATCAATCACACACTCTAGATCCAGCCACCTCTGAAAAATCCTTTCCTGTGACTGCATAGGGCTTTGGGGATATATTAAGACAAGCCATAACATTAACGCGAGGCCTTGTATATAGCATGTGCTCAGTGAAGAAGGTGGAGCTGTGATCGTAATTGGCTTTACAGCCCTCTCAGAACCTGAGTCTTCACTGCACTAGAGTGAGGAGGGGCTATGCTGAGGAAGCCTGGAGCAGGAGACACTAGTGTGGAGCATGGAGTTCAGGGTAGCAGAAGAGAAAATCACGAAACAATGTGCAAACCTTGTGTTTAAAAAAAAAAAGAGAGATTCTGTCTGAAAACCAGAGAGGCTAAATATTCCATCAAAGCCAAATAAACACCTGGAAAAATCAGCACTTATAGGTTGGGTTATATAAATTTCTAATAAGAGCTGATTGAAACTGTCAAATGGCAACACAAACAAAACCACTGGGAGTGAAATCTGAAACTTGTTATGAATCTAGGTAGTGAGGGTGGGAGACAAATAGTCTTTTAACTCTCAAAGGTAAATTGCTAAAACTAAGAGGTCAGAGGCAGACTGTGAAGAAAAACACCACTTGATTTTAACCTGGTCTTGCCTAGGATCAATAGCTTTCTCAGGTATGTTCCTCTCCTCACTAATAGACTGAAATAGTGTGCTGTTTTTCAAGTAGTTACTTTCCTTTTAATGTAGTAATTCATCCTATCATCTTATACTACAAACAAATCATGGCACGGAAAGCAAAATCTGAAGAGAAGAAAAAAATTAATAAAATAATCGAGGAAAAATGATTTCTGAGAAACCACTAAGCAGAATATTCTAACTTGCTGAAGAAATGCCCATCTATTGGCATGTGATAGGAGTGTACATTATGGGAGAAGCATGTAATGTTGTCTCAAAAATCACTGCTTCTAAAAAGAATGAGATAAGAAAAGAAATGTGAATCTGAAATGTCCATGAAATTTATTTCATTCCATTCATATAGGGAGATGAATTTGTGCTTTGAAAATCTACCTGGCCCTTGAAAAGAGTTCCACATGGGAAGACATAGACTAGTCCCACCGTTAAATTCATTTGTTGGAAGGACAGCAACATTCATTGTGATATTTAGCTCTCTGTTACCAAATATGCTCTTCATTTTCTAAAACCAGTTTTTACAGTTATTGCCAAGCATGTAAAAGGGGTAACTGAGAAGGAAGAATTAGATAACTCTTGGCAGTTCCAGGAAATTGAGAAGTTCCTCTATGTTTAAAACATTCTTGGCATTGGTTTTTACTTTGCCTGTGGCATCTATTACCTGTGAGTTTCAGAAGAATGATAAAGTACAGTAAGAATGCATAGGAAATAAAACACACCCAGGACAGATTACACATACAAATATACTTATCAGTATGCAATGTAGTAACTGAGGATCCCAATTTGACAAAGTTTTTTGTGGTGAATTGGGGAGCACTA